GGCTGGGGAGCTGCGGTTCGGTCTGACCCCACCGACTTGACCCTCTTCTCTCCCGAGGCTGTGGCACCAGCTGACGCTGCAGGTGTTGGACTTCGTGCAGGACCCCTGCTTTGCCCAGGGAGATGGACTCATCAAGGTGAAGGGCTCGGTTGCTCCCAAGGCCTTTTTCTTTCTGGATCAAAGGGGAGTGATGGTATTTTTTGCTCTGGTGGAAAACCAGCAGCCTGTTGCTTGTCCCTGGAGAGCTCTGGTTCGGGGTGAATCCAGCTTTCTGGGGTGTGTGCACTGGATGGGAGTTGGTTGGCGTGTGGAGGCTTTGCTGAAGTTAAAGGTGTCCATGTAGGAGGCTTCCAAATGGCTTTTTAGTTTCATTTGCTCGAGATATTTTTTGGTAAAGGTACAAGGGGCCCTTTTTCTGTCCCTTCTGCAGCAGGGGATCTGCAGCTGCAAGCACAGGGTGGGTGCCAGATGTTGGCAGGGGCCTGGGGGGCTCAGGTTGTTGCCCCCTCAGGGAGCTGCTTCCCCTGGTGCAGAGAAGAACATGGTCTTTCTGTGGTACAGGCAGTCATGTGCTTCCACTCTCCTCTGTTTTTAAGCTGAAATTCCATTTCCCAGGAGATATTTCCAAGTTAGTGGGTCTCTAGAGACAGTCCCTTCTGGAGAAAGGGGAGAGCTTTGTCCTTAGGCTCGTGGGTAGCTGGGGAGGTGCTGGGGGCAGGACACCAGGGAGAGGATTGCCTGACAGGAGGAGGTGTGGGCAGTGCTGGGGGGGTGCTGGGGCCCAGGGCCCAGCCAGTGCCCTGCTGGAACCAGGTGTCTGTGCCCTGACTGCTCCTTGTGCCCGCAGCTCTACGAGAACTTCATCAGCGAGTTCGAGCACAGGTGAGTGTGTCTGCTGGGGGCTGGGCTCTGGGGGGCTCAGGGGGCTCTGCTGGGGGCCTGGGGGACTCTGCTGCCACCCGCTCTGTGTTGCAGGGTGAACCCCCTGTCCCTGGTGGAGATCATCCTGCACGTGGTTCGGCAGATGACGGGTACGTGTCCGCGCCCCTCGCACTGCGGTTCCCCTGGGGGACCTGACTGGGTGTCAGCAGCAGTGACCTCTTCAGTGCTGGGTCTGCTCTGCCTGGGGTGGTGAGAGGGGAAAGCACCAGCTTGAATAATTGCTGCTCTGCTGGGGAGCACAGAGCCTGGCTTGTGAGGGCAGCACCTCTGGTACAAGAGACAGGCCAGTCTCCCCGCACCCAGCAAAGGCTGCATTTGTAGGGTGAGGTTGAGTTCCCCAGGAGTTCTAGTCATGCTGCCCTGTTTTTCTTTCCCCCCCTCCAGATCCCAATGTGGCCCTTACTTTTCTGGAAAAGACTCGAGAAAAGGTATTTTTGAAATGTTTTTTTCTGGTGATCCCCCTCCAGGAGTTGTGTTACATACAAGTGTATGTGGTACTGCTGAAGAGGCAGCAGCAAGAGCCCCCCCAGCTGTTGGGTGACCCCCCTGCCCCCTCTCCCTGGCTGCAGGGTGACCCTCTGTGTGTCCACAGGTGAAGAGCAGTGATGAGGCTGTCATTCTGTGCAAGACAGCCATCGGGGCCCTCAAGCTGAACATCGGGGACCTGCAGGTCACCAAGGTGAGGGGACAGCCCCAGCAGAGCCAGCCAGGCCACGCTGGTGACCCCCTGCAGCCTGGGTGTGCCTGTGCTTCAGGCCTGAGTGAGAGGATGATGAATTTGCAGCTCTTGGCGTTTCCAGGAGGACCTGGGGTTCTGCCTTACCTCTTGTAGGCCATAAAAACACAATGGATAGAACGTGGGAGCCAATCTCTGAAGGTTTGGTCAGGTTCAGGTGCCTGCAGCTGCTGGTGTGGGAAGAGGGGAGGAGTGTTGTGCTGTGTTTCAGTCCCAGTGCAGAGGGTGTCCTCAGTCCAGCAGCAGGGTGGTGAGCTGCTAACAGTGACTGGTTAGTTCTCATCCCTGTGCTGTGTTGGGGTTTTCCCCTCTTAGCTTTTCTAGAACCGTCTCTTGAAGCAAAGCTGGTTTCTTTTTTCCTGCAGTGCAGCTTTTACATCTCTTAGAGCAAGTACCAGCTGTGATGGGTTTGGGTCCGTAATGTGTGGATGTGGGTGTGTGTCAGTGTGGCTGCAGGGGCTCCTCTGGGGGTGCTGGTGGTGGGGTGGGTTTTTTTTAACCTGCTGGGAGGGCAGGGTCTGGGGGGCAGGGTCTGTGCTCCCACCTGCTCTCCCACCGGGTGGCTGTAAGGCCGAGAGCACGTGTGTGTGTGTTTGAGGGGCACCTGCACCAGGTTCTCCTCCTCCCCCCCCTGCCAGGAGACCATCGAGGAGGTGGAGGAGATGCTGAACAACCTCAGTTCCCCAGGAGTTCTAGTCATACTGCCTTGTTTTTCTTTCCCCCCCTCCAGATCCCAATGTGGCCCTTACTTTTCTGGAAAAGACTCGAGAAAAGGTATTTTTGAAATGTTTTTTTCTGGTGATCCCCCTCCAGGAGTTGTGTTACATACAAGTGTATGTGGTACTGCTGAAGAGGCAGCAGCAAGAGCCCCCCCAGCTGTTGGGTGACCCCCCTGCCCCCTCTCCCTGGCTGCAGGGTGACCCTCTGTGTGTCCACAGGTGAAGAGCAGTGATGAGGCTGTCATTCTGTGCAAGACAGCCATCGGGGCCCTCAAGCTGAACATCGGGGACCTGCAGGTCACCAAGGTGAGGGGACAGCCCCAGCAGAGCCAGCCAGGCCACGCTGGTGACCCCCTGCAGCCTGGGTGTGCCTGTGCTTCAGGCCTGAGTGAGAGGATGATGAATTTGCAGCTCTTGGCGTTTCCAGGAGGACCTGGGGTTCTGCCTTACCTCTTGTAGGCCATAAAAACACAATGGATAGAACGTGGGAGCCAATCTCTGAAGGTTTGGTCAGGTTCAGGTGCCTGCAGCTGCTGGTGTGGGAAGAGGGGAGGAGTGTTGTGCTGTGTTTCAGTCCCAGTGCAGAGGGTGTCCTCAGTCCAGCAGCAGGGTGGTGAGCTGCTAACAGTGACTGGTTAGGTCTCATCCCTGTGCTGTGTTGGGGTTTTCCCCTCTTAGCTTTTCTAGAACCGTCTCTTGAAGCAAAGCTGGTTTCTTTTTTCCTGCAGTGCAGCTTTTACATCTCTTAGAGCAAGTACCAGCTGTGATGGGTTTGGGTCCGTAATGTGTGGATGTGGGTGTGTGTCAGTGTGGCTGCAGGGGCTCCTCTGGGGGTGCTGGTGGTGGGGTGGGTTTTCCTTAACCTGCTGGGAGGGCAGGGTCTGGGGGGCAGGGTCTGTGCTCCCACCTGCTCTCCCACCGGGTGGCTGTAAGGCCGAGAGCACGTGTGTGTGTGTTTGAGGGGCACCTGCACCAGGTTCTCCTCCTCCCCCCCCTGCCAGGAGACCATCGAGGAGGTGGAGGAGATGCTGAACAACCTCCCTGGGGTGACCTCCGTGCACAGCCGGTTCTATGACTTCTCCAGCAAGTACCACCAGACCGTGGGGAACCACGCCTGCTACTACAAGGACGCTCTGCGCTTCCTGGGCTGCATCGACGTCAAGGACCTGCCAGGTACCCCCCAGCACACATCCCTGCTCCTCAGCCCCTGGCCTGCACCCCAAATAGATGTGCTGGCAGAGAGCAGGGTCTCCCAGCAGTATTTGGAATCTGCTCTGGTTGGGATCTAGCTGGGAAGAAGAGGAGCCCACCGGGGAATGGCTCAGGAGGATTCAGCTCCTCAGCTGCCCTGAGGTGATGGGAGGGGGGGGGAAGCTCTCCCACCAGAAGGGGTGGTTGGTTCTGCTTCCCAAAAATCTTCACTGTGGATGCAAACAGTGGCCCTTGCTGTGGTGCTGCAGGCTCCTCACTCCCAGGCTGGGGAGAGTTGAGGGTAATTTAAGACAGGCACAGGGAGGAGGGTGAGGGGGGCTGGGGCTGCTGCCTCCCCTGACTGTTGCCGTTTGGGGTCTTCCCTTTGTTTCTTTGCAGTCTCAGAGCAGCAGGAAAGGGCCTTTACCCTGGGCCTGGCGGGGCTCCTGGGGGAAGGTGTCTATAACTTTGGGGAGCTGGTGAGTGGTGCTGCCTGGCCCTGGGGGGGTGTCTGGGCCGGGCCCCCCCTGCCGCTGCCCCTGCCCCCCCAGCTGATGCACCCGGTGCTGGAGTCGCTGCGGGGCACGGAGCGGCAGTGGCTGATCGACACCCTCTACGCCTTCAACAGCGGCAACGTCGAGACCTTCCAGGGCCTCAGGTCGTCCTGGGGCCAGCAGGTGAGGCAGGAGCTGCTGCCCTGCTGGGTGTGCCAGGGGGCACTGGGGGGTCTGCAGGCCTTGGCCTCCAGGATCCCTGGCTCTGGAGCATCCCTGTGGTCCTGGCGGCGCTGCTTGCGTCTTGGTGTGAACTGCTGGGTTTTCCTTTGGCTTCCCTCTGGGTCTGGTGGATTGAAGGGTAAAGGGAGGTGCTATGGAAGCCAAGGGCCAGGCACACAAACTGCCACCCAGTCCTGCACCTGAAGATAATATCTGGTTTAATTTCCCCAATGGCATTCATTCCCAGGGTTAAACTGCTTCCAGTGGCTTTCCCTCGTGTTCTGGGAAGGCTGAGGAAGCCAGGGCTGTTGGGTGTTAACTGCCCTGAGCCAGGAACTACTGACACAGCAGCAATTCACAGGCCAGCTTGTGCATCCACTTGCACAAGGCTGTGGCCTGTGATAGAAGGTTCCTGCTGTCCCAAGTGCTGCATTTAATTGTGCAGCTCTTATGGGTCATTTATGGAACACTGCTGGGCAGTGGGTGGGCTGTAGCAGCCCCCTCCCTGGTATGGAGTCCCCAGGTGGGTCCTTGCAGGCTGCTCCATGCTGCTGCTCTGGGGAGAAACAAAAAAAGCAATAATGAACTTGTTCCATTTTCTCCTCTTGCAGCCAGACCTGGCTGCAAACGAGGCACTTCTGCTGCAGAAGATTCAGCTGTTGTGTCTTATGGAGGTGAGCTGAGAGGAGGGTGAGTGTGGGGAGGGGCAGGGGCTGCTCCCACCGCTGGCACTGCTCCTCTGCTGGGGACACTGGGTCACTGCTCCAGGGACACTGACTCTAAGCAGTTCCTGCAGATGTTGCCTCTAGGTGGTGCCCAAAGGCAAGTACTGCCGGGGAAAAGCCTGGAGCTTCTTGTTTGTTGTTTCAAGGGCCTGCTCTTCCAGGCAGGATGTGGAAAGGGGGGGAAGGAACAAAGATTTCTAAAACACTCTTGAAATCACAGTCTCCTAAGGACTGAAAATCCTTCCCCTTCTGGCAACCCTGAGCACTCAAGAGCTGAGCTCCTGCCACTGGAGGCTTTGGCTCTGCCCTTCCCAGGCAATACTGGAGTATAAACCTCTGTGGTCCTGCACCTGTTTGAAAAATTTGCATATTGAGTTACCTGGCAGGTGGTGTCTGTGTGTACACAGCCCACACCCAGCTGGGTGGCAGTGGGTGTGTATGTAGGTGCTCCTCTGGGGTGCTGCACTGGGAGGGAGTTTTGCCACCACCAGTGTTGTCCCTGACACACGCTGGGACATTCCCTCACAGATCAATCTGCTTAATGTGGAGGTGGTGAAGGAGCTCAGGAAATCTGCTGGGAGCAGCCAGGGGTGTGTGCAGGAGGAGGGGCTGGGACTCCTGCTGCTGCCATCAGTGCATGTTTATTTGGAGTATTTTGGGGAAAGGCAGCAGAGGAGGGCTCAGCAGGGGGTACAGGGGGAGCTGTGGGGAAGGAGTGGGAGAGGGAGCTGATTTCCTGCTTTGTTCCCTTGAGTTCAGATGACTTTCACCCGGCCTGCCAACCACAGGCAGCTCAGCTTTGAGGAGATTGCCCAGAGTGCCAAAGTCACCGTGAACGAGGTGAGCTCAGGTTTAGGCAAACTCACCAGTGTCCAGGTCCTGGAGACCTGGAAGTGTCTGGATTGATCTGCTCCTGTGGGTGGGCTCTGGATAGAAAGGTTCTGCCCTCTTCTCCTGCATTTGGAGAATATTTTTTTTTAAGAAGGAGCTGGCTGCTTAGTGCTCTGGTTCTTGATAAATGCACTTCTGGAGATTCTTAGTCATGGGCTGAAGTTGGAAGAGAGCTCTGTAGGTAACCTGTTCCCACCTGCTGTGGAAAGCAAGCCTCTGGATCAGGACATGCAGGGCCCTGCCAAGCTGCCTTGAGTGTTTCCAGCAGGGAAATGTCCCTGATGTTTAGTTTTTCTCACGGTGCAGAATTTTCTTCTGTCACCCAGACACAGTCCCTGCTGAAGCAGATCCTGCCTGTGGTCTCTTGTCCTTTCACTGTCCATCCAGTGAAAACAGCACCTCCTGCCTCCCCTGCCTTGTGGGTACAGGAAGGCTGTGATGAAGTAGCCCCAAGCTGCCTCTGACCTAGGCAGGATAAATCAGATTTCATAATGTCAAGTTCTCCAGTTTGGTGCCAGCAGTGACAGTGTCATCCAGCTAGTTAAAAGATAGTTACCAAACCCCTGAGGAGCATGACTTGTGACTAGCTGCCTGTTCAAGCCACTGACCACCACTGTGTGAACTTGGGGGTTTAGCTGGTTTTCTCCTTGTCCTGGGGTTCCTTTCTGTTCTGTAACTTATCAGCCTGTCCAGGATGTGGTGGAAGGGCTTGCTGAGCACTTTGCTAAAAGGCACAGGACACCTACAGCCCTCTCCTTGGTCATTGAACAAGTCACTTAATTTAAAAAGGCAATCATACTGGTCACCTTGCCCGTGGCAAATCCATGTTGACTTGTTTCAAGTTACCTTGTTCTTCCTGGGATTTCAGAGAGAATAAATCTGCTCTTAAGGAAATGTCTCCTGTGTATTTAGGTGTGGAGTCTCAAGGTGCTAGAACCTGAAGGAGTGTGGGTGTGAGGGAGGCTGCTAGTGCCATCCAAAGGTGTTGTTCCTCTCAGGGGGGAAACTGGGTGACTCCCAGTTGTTCCCTGGGGTGGTGGTTGTGTTGTAGGTGGAGCTGCTGGTGATGAAGGCACTGTCAGTGGGGCTGGTGAAGGGCAGCATTGATGAAGTGGACAAGAAGGTGCACATGACATGGGTCCAACCACGTGTGCTGGATTTGCAACAGGTAATGAACAGCTGGAGTATTAAGGCAGCACTGACTTGTTTTCTTGTGTGAGGTGACTCAGAAGTGAAAATAAGGACTGTGCAGGGGTGCTGGCTGGGGATTAGTCTTCTTAGTGTTGCTTGAAGGTGCTGAGGGAATGAGGAAGTACCTTGACCTTCCTCACGACTCTGTGTTCTCTTTGGCTCTTGCCTTAGGTCTGTGGTGGGTTTGGTATCTGTGTTTTGCAGGAAATAGTTAGAAATCTGTCAGAAGGCAGAGAAGGTTGTTTGTGACACTTCTCTGTGAAAACCACACAAACCACCAGAGAGCAGAAATATGGTGGTGCTGCTTTCCAGAGAGATGCAGGCCTCTTGTGTGGCTGCTTGTGGCCTAAATGCACGAAACAAAATCTTGGTGTTTCTGGGCCAGAGGTGGTCACAGGGTGGTAGAGGTGCTGAGCTTCCCTCCTCACAACAAACACTTTGTGAGGCTGTACAGGGTGCCCTGGCCTTAAAAAAACCCAGTAAGATCCAGACATGGAATAGTCGCTGCAAACAATTCCTGGTGTGCTTTCCAGCTGGATTTGAAACATTGCCATTTTGATGGTAAAAGAGGTGAAGTAGCATCTGTCCTGGGTGTGGGGGGTTTTGAGAAGGTGTTGGGGATCCCAAGTGCTTGTCATGAAGGTGAATGTTGTACCTCCAGCAGCTGAGCTTCTCCTGGGCTTGCCTTGCAGATCAAGGGGATGAAGGACCGCCTGGAGTTCTGGTGCACGGATGTGAGGAGCATGGAGATGCTGGTGGAGCACCAAGCTCATGACATCCTGACCTAGAGGACATTGCACTGCCCCTGGGAGAGCAGTTCTGCTGCTGGTGCTGGCAGCATTCAGCACCAGCTGTGCTGGGGTGTGGGGTGGGTGGGCAGGGGGGGAGCAGCTTCCTGAGGGAGCAGCAAGTGGCCTTTCGCTGTGGGACCCTTTGGTGCTTGGAGTCAAGATTCCCCAGGTGCTGGCACTGGTGGCTCTGGCCACGAGAGCTCTGTCCTGCTCCTATGGAAGATGGGCAGGGGTGGAGGGGGCAGGGGCTCGGTGGTGGCTGGTGTGTCACTGGTGTCCCCCTGGTGTCCCCTGGCTGCTGGGGTGAGGTGGCTGTGTGCTGCAGGGGCAGCAGAAGCTCCTTCACACACACACATGTGGGGAGGTGCCTGACCCTGCTGTGTGGTGGTGCTTGGTGTGTTGCCTTGGGAGGACGTGCCCTTCCCTGGGGACCTCTCCCCCTGCCCCTGCAGCTGCCCCCAAGCAGCAGCACTGACTCCATCTCCCTGTTTGCCCTCTCCCCACCACCTCTCCCTCCTCGCCTGCAGCAGAGGGACTGTTTACTCCATCAAAGGGTTCTCCCAGGATCACTGCTCAGTGGATGTGTTCTTATATCCTTTTGGATATAAAAACTTTTGGGGGTGTTTGTCTTTTACCAACACTTTGTACTGCAGTGAGGTGTGACAGTATTGTTGGAATAAACTTCTCTGCCTTCCCTTTCCGTAGTCTGTCCTCTCCATCACTCACAGTCAGGGCTCTGAGCTGTTCAGAAAGACTCTTCCCTTGAAGTTTCAGACCTCAACACCCCCCTGGGCAGGATCTCAGCTGTTAATACCTCGGGATGTACTGTATTGTCAGTTTCCTTCCTTTTCAGAACACTGATCTTTCCTGCAGCTAAGGAAGCAGCACTGACCGACAAGGCCTGAGACAAGTTTTTGTCTGGTTTTGCCTCTTAATAACTGCTACTTCAAAAGCTTTTTTGCAAGGGAAGGGTTTTCCCCTGTTGTTGCTGCTTCCTTTATCAGGATGTGGGATAACTGTGCGTGTCCAGGAATGCAGATCTGCAGTGGAGGCTGCATCCAAGTATCCATCTGGATGCATAATGCTCCTAAGTGTAGGGCAGTAACAGCAAACTGCTTTGAGGTTCATAGCAGCTCTAAATGGATCCAAGTGCTGCTCACACCCCTGGCTAAATCCCTGCAGAGGTGAGTGGATTTTTTAAAAGCTGCTGCCCTCAGCTCTGTGGTCAGATCTTGCTTCACTGCACCCAGATGATCCCAGGGCTGTGGTTACCAGTTCAGTTCTCTGGTGTCACGAACAAGATTCTGCTGAAATTCTGACTTTCTGGGTGTGTTCTGGTTTGCTGTCTTGACTCGGGGCTTCAAACTAGCACGGGGACAGAGAGAGCAGATAGAGACTCCCTATTTACAAGGAGTCCCTTGGAAAATACAAGGGGTCCTGGGCACAAGTTGCTGCTGGGGACATTCCCATTGGACACAAGAGGTAAATTTTTCACCAACAGGACAGTCAAACATTGGAATAATCTCCCAAGGAAAGTGGTAGATTCCCACACATTGGACAGTTGGAAGTCTCAGCTGGACAACGTGCTGCTCACACCCCTGGCTAAATCCCTGCAGAGGTGAGTGGATTTTTTAAAAGCTGCTGCCCTCAGCTCTGTGGTCAGATCTTGCTTCACTGCACCCAGATGATCCCAGGGCTGTGGTTACCAGTTCAGTTCTCTGGTGTCACGAACAAGATTCTGCTGAAATTCTGACTTTCTGGGTGTGTTCTGGTTTGCTGTCTTGACTCGGGGCTTCAAACTAGCACGGGGACAGAGAGAGCAGATAGAGACTCCCTATTTACAAGGAGTCCCTTGGAAAATACAAGGGGTCCTGGGCACAAGTTGCTGCTGGGGACATTCCCATTGGACACAAGAGGTAAATTTTTCACCAACAGGACAGTCAAACATTGGAATAATCTCCCAAGGAAAGTGGTAGATTCCCACACATTGGACAGTTGGAAGTCTCAGCTGGACAACGTGCTGAGCCACCTCATATCAACTGTAGTGGCACCTGGAGAGGTTGGAGCACATGATCCTTCCAACCTGCCACTCTAGGATTCTGCAGCTCTGAGGCTGGGCTGCTCTGCAGGTGAAGGGGACCAAAGCCACCAGAAGGTCAGACCCTGCAGCTGGTCACCCTTCTCCCTTCTGCCTCTGATCAGTTCTGGCCTAAACTTCCTGCCTGGGAGCTGGGTTCCCAGTGCCTGCCTCTTCCCTGCCCATGTGTGCTGGGTTTGCTCTCCCCCTGCTGGGTCAGCTCCTGGAGTGCCCGTGGGGCTGCTCTGTTCCCCTGCCTCGGGCACTGTGGCCTCCTGTGCAGGTGTCACCCTGTCCCCCAGAGCTCACTCCTGCTGCCACTTGCACTGACCCCAGAAGAGCACACGACAAGTGTTCTGGGCAGGGAAATGTTTTGTCCTTTCCTAGCAAAGGGCAGGAAAAGGCTTTGAAGGGACAAACGCCCCTGGTGTGTCCCTGCTGGTGGGGACTGGAGAGCAGTCCCTTGGCAGGGCTTGTCCCTTGGGATGGGCACCAAAACCCCCTGCCAGCCCTCCTGTGCTGCGGGCAGTGCTGGCTTGGAGGTAAATGTCTGAGCAGCTCCCTGAAGTGGGTGTGAAGTTCTGGGGCTAATGAATTAGGACAGTTGCTCCAGAGGTTTTTCCAAGATCCCTGGAATTATTATTTGCTGCCCAAACCTTCCAGCAGGGCTGGGCTGGCTCCTCATACCAGTAACGCGGGGTGTTTGGGAGTGGAGAAGAGGCTCTTTGTGCAGGAGGGAGTTAGATGAGCAGCACCTGGGCTGCAGGCTGCCCTGGGTGCCCCTCGCAGCCTCTGGGTATTTCCTTACTAGGAATTTAATTTGCTTTTGGCTTCCTGGTTGGTGCTGGGAGCAGCGCCCGGCCGTGCCGCCCCGTGTGCCGCAGGAGGAGCGGGAGTGGGAAGCCCTCCCTGCTGCAGCTCCTGTGGGAACACTCCCAGCAGCAGGACAGAGCCATTCCCCACCACCAGCACCGGGTGGAAGCAAAACCAACAGGCCATTCATGCTGATGTGAGTTTTAATGACCCAACCCAGAGAGCTGGTTCCCGGTGAAGACCTGTCCTTGGTCACCTCCTCACACTGCTGCTCTCGGGTGGCTCCTCTCACTCTGCCCTGCTCTTGTAGTGCTCCACGTGTGCCAAGATCCAGGCTGTGGGGGCCAGGAAGGACACGAACATGACGGAGAGGGCGATGGCTTGTTCCTGGGGGAGAGCAGGGATCAGTGGGATGGCAGCAGGACCCCCCGTCCTGCCCGGGGCTGCGGGAACAGCTGCTCACGGGTGCTGCCACCCCTGCCACAGCTGAGGCACAGGTTTGTCCCCACTCCTGGCTCTCCCAGCCCCATGCTGCAGGGCACACACCCCCCTGGGGCTGGGGGTGGGTGAGCACAGCAGCTCCCACCAGCACTGGCCAGGCTGGGCACTCTGGGGGCTGCTTTCCCTCTCCCAGTGCTTCTGTCCTGGTACTGGCTGGGAATCCAGAGCAGCTGTGACCTTCAGAACCCACCCAGGCCTGGGCTTGGCCTCCCAGGGTTTCCCAAAGCAGCTCTTGCCTGACTTTCAAATGACTTTGAGGTATGAATTGCAACCAGCAGCAGCCTCTTCTATTTCTGGTGCACCAGGACTTAACCCTTTTCACTGACACCTTTATTCCCGTTTTTATTTGGCTAGAAAAAGAGCCTCCAGACTCTTTGTTGCAGACCTTGGAAAGGCAGCAGGGGGTCAACTCCACAAGCCAAGGGGTGGAGGTAAAAAACAGCCAGGATTTCTGGTGAAAAGCTCCTTTTCCCAAGCTCATCTTGCCCAGCCCAGGAGGGTCCCTGCAGCTGGTGGGGATCATCCCCAGAGGGAGCGACCTGCCAGCCCTGGCTCTGCAATGGCAGCAGACCCCATCCTTGCCCACGGGGACACCTGCTTTGGGGTGAGTGTCCCATGAAATGGGGGTACCTGGGGCCCAGGTCTGTCCCTGTGCTGTCAGGGTCCCTCAGGGCACTGCCTGTGCCTCTGCCACCTCCTCCCTGAGGTCCTGGGGCTGCCCCATGGCTTCACCTCCCCGGGGGAAATGCAGGGGACCCTCAGCATGTACCCTAAACCCCAACAGTTAAAAAAGGGGCTGAAAGGATAAAATAAAATGGAAGCAAGAGCCTAAGGGGGGGAGCAGGCTGGAGCTTGCACAGCTCTGGGGGCACCTTCCCCCCTTCCCATTCTCTTCCGACTCCCAACGAAATTAATTAGTTGATAACACAAAGGGGATTTGTGTCCCTCCAACCAGGGTGTCCCTAGCAGCAAGTCCCCCCCTCTTCTCGCCTCCCCCAAGCTACTCACAGCAGCAGAGAGTTGGTGTTCAGGGGGCTTGTGGGAGAGCTGAGCCCGGGGGGTCTGCAGCAGGGTGCCCAGGAGCCGGGAGCCCCTCTGGAAGCCCCACATGGCCACGGCAGGGCGAGCAGGGTGAGCACTGCTCCTCTGGCCGGGCTGCAGCTGCCCAGTCTGTCACCACTGCCACCACCCCCTGCTGCCCCCCTCAGCACGGGGCCTGCTGCTCCACAAGGGCACGGCTGTGGACAGCCTTAAAGGGCAAGATTTTCCCAAATTACTACCCTTTTCTCTTTTTTTCTCCCCTAAATGTTGTGCTTTTTCCTTTCTCCCCAGCAGCACCCAGCTCCTCGTGCCTCTGAGGTCAGAACCCATGTCTCCAGCCCCTAAAGTGGGACCTCTCTGCCACGCTCTGCAGGAGTGCAAACCTCTTATCTTGGGCTTTTAAATGTGTGTAACACCCAAACCACAATGTTTTTGCTGTAAAAATGGCAGGAAGGGCTGTACAGACCATGACTGCTCAAACACACGTTTGTTGACAAAAGCTGAGTGCTGGAATTCAAAAGCAGTAGCAGAATCCTCTTACCTTGTACCTGCTGTTTGCAGCTGC